ATTCCCTCCTTACTAACTAAACCTACACCAAAGCAGAAATTCAGCATTTTCATCCCCACTTAGCTTCTGCTTCCCCTTTAAGACCAAGATCAGCACTTCAACAATAGCACATGACTTGCTCTACCTTTATCAGATTAACTCTAACCAAAGTGATAAGTGTTTTCTGACAACACTCACTAACCTTTTAATCTGAACTAATACTGCCATTGTGTTAGTATGATTTTGGGCATGTTGTAGACATCATCTCTTTTAAAAAAAGAAACAGGGCACAGTCAGAAATTAAAATATAATGAATGCAGGAACATAGGTATGCTAAGTATTTTTGAGAGATAGGTTAGAAAATATACGTCTGGCATTTATATTCAGACAGATTATGTCCTAAAACTATAACCAGACCAGGACAGTCATTCTTGTAGTGAAATTTCCAGTAAGGAAAAAATTAAGACATGCTTTCATCTGGTCTACCTAAACTTCTCTCTCTGGAAGTTATTCTCACAGAATGGTTCTCTTTCCTTTGTACATGGGTGCTCCAGATACTGCAATTGCACTATTGCCAGCTGCAGTTGAAAGCAAACTTCCGCCAATCCAGGCAAAAAAAGGTCACTCTAGTTGTTCTTTAACAATAAAGAATGTTAGCTGTCTCCTTTTTATATTCTCAGGAAGAAATCTGGACCTCTTTCACTCACCATCAGAATAATGAATAATCCAGGGCCTCCTGTATGCAGCTACTTCAACACAGAAACTACCACATGCAACTGTAGTTTAAAAATGTCATTAATATCCCTACAAATAAAACACATTTTAAAAATAATCTAGTTGCTAGTCAGAAAATAATGAGGTCACTAGAAAAACCTAATCAAATATTATTGCCTTTAATTTGAATACTCTGCTGGTATTTCTAGAAGGTTACTTAGCTAATTCTAATCCTTTCTTTTAATAGTAAATTCCAACATCTCTTTAAAAAAAAAAATAAATTAAAAAAGGCTAACCAGTCAAGAAAAAGAACCCATAGAAACTGTTGAGATTGTGGTTTTTGCCAACAACCCATATTCCTGAGAATTTTGTCAAGGTAGGAAACTCCCTTATGCTACATGAAACCTTTTCAAGCTCTTGGGTGTTACATTTAAAGGGAAAAGGCTGATGCAAACTGCCCTCAGCACTTCCTCATCAAGCACACAGCTTGATGTTACTTAAGAGCATTGCAGTGCTGGGAATGGAAGTGTCAGAACATGTTCTCATGTTATAAACACAGATAGAAGCCACTGAAAACTGTAGAATGGGAAAAACATCCACCATAAACATTTCCTTCCAGTCAGTTTAAAACTTCTCAGCTCTTAAAATCCTCACTTTATCTTGGTTTCCTTCTGATGAGCTAAGCTATTTGCACATCCTATTTGTTCCTATTTAGCACACTGTCTATTAGTCCTTAAGGCAGACATGCAATATAACTGCAAGAAGGCAATTGCTTACATTTATTTTTGCTAGACAATTCTGAATATAGATATTTATCATCCAGATGAATTCAGGAACATACTTCTTACTACTATTCACTGCAAGAATAGCTGTAGGTTTCCTTTCTTCATATTGACAGAACTCTAGCTGAGAGCTCTGCTGTTTTAGGGACAAGCAGGAGGTGGGTGTATAGGGAGAGAAAGAAAATAAAGAAAAATGTATGGTGGGAAAGGATAGCATTTCAGGATGTCAGACTCAATCTATTTATAGATCAGTACCTAAAAAACACATTACAGGAAATGTTTTAAGTAAAATAATGTATATGGGGTAGCAGTCAAAATCCAACGAGAGATGAGACCCTTCCCTTCATTAAAAGCACATGGTCTTGAGAAAAACAAAAGCATCCAGTTCCTCCCAATACTCTGAATACTATGACAGGACAGAGATATCTGCATTGCCTTTCAGAGTGTTTAGTGCCAAATTTTTTGCTCATTTCCCAGTGGGGTCAGAGCTCAGCTTTGACAATCACAATACATGCACACCAGTTTATCCCCATCCTGAAGAACAGAAAACAAACAAAACAAAGTATTCCATTTCCTTCAAAGAGGAACTATAGCCATGGCTGAGAATTTGTTCTACAGTTCACTTACTCTGCCACAGACAGTCTTCCAAAAGATTCCAGCAGGATTCAAATCTTCAATGCCTTCACAGAATGACCTGGGCATTTACCTCATGGTGTCACTATCATGCTACAAAAAAAACACCTCTGAAAGATAACAGTTCAGTCCTCTGATTTTCTTAGAAACTGCTTTCTTTGAAAAGAAGAGAGAAAACAAAATAATACTTGATAGTACTGTGCACAATCCCAAGGAGAATAGAGCTTGATTTCTACTTCCTCAGAAGTATTTCAGGTCAGAGAATCCTTGTATCCTCTAAAGAACACTTGGACCTGCAGATTGTGTTGGTAATAGCACTCAAAACTATTTTAAAGTAAAAAGCAATAAAACTCTCAGGGCAGCATGCTTCAGGAGCAGGGATGCTGATGAACAATTTAAGGCTCATATGTATGTCCCCACTGCTTTGGTGTCCCAAGTTCAGTCAAAGGCCACATGCTAAAGCATGACTGTGGGGCCAAAATTCCACACTGGACATAGAGAACTTTGTAAGAAACTCTGTAAGAATAACACTCACCCCTGAGGTTAGGGACAAGGGTATATAGGAGTTTGCCATCTCCTCCTCCCTTCTCCACTATCAGTGGAAGGCTTAAAAGCAGCCTACACACAAAGTTCTAGCACAGAAAGGAAGCCCAGCTGAGATAAGCATCTTCACCTCACTGATGTACTGAGAGCTTGTATTTATCCTTCACCATTTTTAAATGGTTTCCTTGCTGGTCCTTCCAGCACTCCTTTATAAAAAGCAAGTTAGGATACAGAAAGGGACCACCCTTTTATTGACCTGCTAGCAATCAGAAATCTCCAGACACAAAGTGGTACATCCCCAAAACTGCAGTGCACATGTAAAAGTGCAGACAAAAGGAGTCAAAAAGAGTACTGTCAGATTTTTATAAACCTCACGTGGGACCTGGTCTGTTTTATAGGAGAAAAGTAGTATCATCATGTTATAAACTTCAAGTTTTGGCTTTAAATCAAAAAGAAGAGTAAAGAAAGCAGTTATCTGTGAAAAGAAACTTTCCAACTCTTAACAGTTACATAAAGGACATAAAATTGGGCATATTTGTGTGACCACAAGATAATAGGGTAACAAAATTAAACTAACATTAAAGCTAGACCATTCATGAATACAATATCAAAATTAGATACAACTGTTGACATTCATTTTTTAAAACTTTACATCTGAGTTGTAACCAGTATTTACCTGTAGCAGGCTGACCACCTTTTTACTATGTTAAAATCCCTGCACCGACATCCACTTCTTTACTAAGTTAAAAAAAGCATGCTTATATTCATACGTATGTCAATATAAATTTCAATAACCAACCATGGACATCTCATTTCCCATATTTATTTACTACACGCTATGTTTAGTAATTTCATCTAAATATTTTTCAGAGGCAGCTGTTCAAAGTTGTTTGTTGTTTTTTTAAGTTACTTGATCTCTTCTTCCTTCCCAACTTGCACAGGATCCATGTGACCAAGGGCTGTTACTGCAGAAACTCAGGTCACACTGTCAAGTACTGAGTGGAGCCTTCAAGGAGACACCATAACACCATAACACCTGCACATTGATAGCGCAACTTGAATTTTTTCTATATGCTTCATCAATTGATTGCACTCAGTGTCTGTTAACTCAAAACTTACTACTCCATATGTTTTTTACTTCCATAAAGCACTGCAAGAGCAATTCAGGAGCCCCCGACAATTCTCACCAGTGACAAAGCTGAAAACTGCAGGAACTGATGAGACTAGCCACTCTGCCCTCTCTTCAAGAGTTGTGAAGCAGAAAGATCTGCAAGAACAGACAGATTGTGATACCATCATTTTGGGGAAAATATAAGCTACAGCTACACTGCAAAAATTGGTCAGTCACATAAGCAGCCAGAGTTACTCTGCAAGTCAGCACATCTAACCCTGAAGCACTAATACGCAGTTGTTAGCTAGACTCACTACAGGATTTCCTTTACACCTTTTCTCAAACTCAAACAGTTTCTAAGTAGAAGCAACAACAGTCTTTTTTTGTTACCACACTGTAAAACTGATAAAAACCACAGCTGCTGCAGTGCAGGCTCAGTGACACAATTTCATTTTCCATTTCCTAAATCACACCAAACAAAAATCAGAAATGGTCAAATTATTACTAATCAAGTATACTAAACCCTATTCTGCAATGCATAAGCGCTATGTTGTCAGCTGGGCATCAATGACACTCAGTTCAGAAAAAAAAATTCAGTTCTAAACACATATTGTACTCTATAAGGAAGATGAGAACCACAGGAAACAGCCATAAGATGCACTAGCTACATGCTTGGGAAAGAAATTGTCAGTAAGGAAAAGCAGGAAGTGTTCAGTTCACTCATGATGAGAGATTAACTTCATCCCTTTCTGATTCCATGGAAACCATGAATTAGTTGAAGGACCGAATCTGACACAAGTGATCACTGATGTTGCACTTTGGGACAGTTACTCATCAGAAACTTGAGTCTGAACATATTTCAGTCAGATTCAGTAGAGCTGCTTTTGATAAAGCAATCTAAATAACTGATTTGCATACTGAGTAAATTACATATAAGATTAATCCTATTTGAGATTAAAGTACTCCAGTATCTGAACATGTTTATATATATATATATATATACATATGTGTGTGTGTGTGTAAGTATATAATAAAACCTGATTAGTGTTCAGATTTGAAGATCACCAGGAAGGTTTTGCAGTTATTTCTGCACCAGCCATATTACTCAAGGTGTTCTGAAAAAACTAAGTACAAACACAAACATGAGAACTGCAACCACTACTACTATCAAAGCTGTGTTTATCCCATATCCTTTGCAGAATTATGACCAGTAATGTACAACTCTGATGACTTAAAGCTGACATTATGAGCCCAGTTTTTAATCCAGGTTTAAAAATTCCACAGGTAAAACAAACTTGGGAGACCCACGAGAGACAGCTTCCCACCCAAGAAAAACTTAAAACACACACTGCACTCTTACTTTAGCAATATTTACTGCTAAATTTAATTTCTGTGTCTGTGAAAGAGAGGGTGCTTTTGCCTTTAAAAATTTAGCAGGCAACTAAACTGCACATTATACACAGTAAGCATCTTAGTATTTTATTCGTTGCATCTTTTATACAGAATAAGCTTCACTGATATTTAATTCACTGCAGTATTTTCTTGATGTAGCAATAAAAGATTACACTATAAACAAAGAACAAAATTTTTACTTGAAATTTTTTTTAAATGTGTGCAATTTTTGCAGTTGACAAACAGCATCACAATTACTGAAAAAAAAATGAAAGAAGCACAAACTACGGCCTGGTTTTTTAACCTCCAATTGAAAATTTTTCTATGTTCTTCATAAATATGGGAAGCTAAACTCCAGCAACTAAAAAGAAACATACCTATAAATTCCTAGCAACCAGGATTCAAATAAAGGAGAAAACATATAATAACAACAAAGTTTCTTTTCATTTAAGTTGACATCTGCGATCTATTTACACTATATGAGTTTGAATTCCACAAGATCATGAAGGGTAAGGATTTTTGAAATAACCTGTTAAGCATTACTTAAAATGGCACTTTTGTAACTCAGGTCTGGGATTTCAGAATTGCTAAAACAGTGAAAGACAATACACTGCAGTATGTCTATACCATTATAACATAAAAAAAGAAACTACTCCATAAAGTGCCACTGAGATGGCTCAATCAAAGTAATATACATTTGTATCTTTATCAAGATAGATATTACAGTAAAAATGCTCACATTAAAAAATATAGTTATTATTGTTTGGATTTTCATTAAAACTAGAAGGGTCTACATGAGCCAAAGTATGAGGAATTTGGATATAATAACATGCTTCCTCATTTTATAGCACTAATAAAAATAATAATAGAGAAAGCTCTATTAAAAATCTTTAATAACCACAGTTTAATTTCCTAGTATATTTTAAAAACTTTACTATGTGGGTGTATGTGCATGCATGTCTGCATAAACACACAAACAGATAAAAGAACTCAAAGTGTATATATTACACATACACACATATCCACATTCCTGCATACAACACTTCCATAATGCAAACAGTATGCAGGGACTCTTCCACGTGACAACCAGATGCCACACGCCATGTTTTCTTATTTCTCTGTTTATCCAGTAAATGTAACAAACCTTTTGTATTTGGCTGAATGGAAGTGTTAAGATTCTTAAAAATAATGGTGATTTAACCATTTAGCCACAACATCATACACAAAGAAATGGTACTGCAAATACTGCTGATCAAAAGCTCAACATGAAAGTTTGTCATGAAATGGAATGTAAATTATTCTAAAAATTAGTATCCAAAGATTAGTTAAATATTATGGCAAAAAACTTGGAATTTATAGAAAGTTCAAAATGTAATTCACATTACAAAGACTGGAGATATTTTATAGATGGAATTTTTAAATATGGATATGACTGGCATTTATTTTTAAGCTTACTTCTATTAGAAATAGACTTGATTCCTGTACAGGTGATGCTTTGTCTATGCCATATAAGTAGAAAAATAAATTCTTTAGCAACCTAGAAATAGTTTATAAAACTCCTGAAGTTTCATTTTCTTTGCTAAACATGCCAAGATTAGTTTGAAAACTATAAATAAAAGCTGTATAGACAACAGGTAAAGTAGAACAAGTTAGGAATACTACAATTTACAGGACAGACTTTATTGTACTATTAGTTCCTGTGTGCTTTGCAATAGGAATAGGGTTGACTTTTCTTTTTTGTTTATGTTTTCTTAAAAAAGATAATTACTTGCAAGAATATAACACAATATCAAGATAATTTATAATATACAAGTACTTCAAACAGCAGCCAGGTTTATGGTATTTTAGTAATCTAGAATGATAATCCAAGTCATTAGAAGTACAATACCTAGGACATAAGTGGGAAAGGAAAGTTTTATTTTGGGAAAATGGAGCAAATCAATCTCTTAATAAAAGCCTTAATTCTCAAAATCATCTATTTACTATAATACATACAAGACGATCTTAAATCTTGTTATAATGAAGATTACAACAGTGACCATCATAAAGCTTTTTTTTTTAAACTACACAAAACATTCTAGCAGCTGAATGAGCCAAAACTTTCTTTTTTGCAGACCTAAAAAGGTACATTTTGAGCATGAAAGAAAAAAAGCTGCTATGAAAGTCTCACAGGTAGTGTATATCTATGGTCTCCCCTTTGCTACAATTTGTAACCTTCTAATTTTTTTTACCACTATCAAAATATTTAACCAAAAGATTTGTTTAAATTAAGCAGCATTCTTTTACAGCAAAATTGGTACCAATATAAAAGTAAAATAAATGAAAAAAAAAGATAATTTAAAAATACGATGAAGAAAAAAAAAGTCATTTGAAATTTTAGTACAACATACCACAGGAAAAAAATATGAATACAAGTTTATGTGATTTTATATATACACACTCCAAAGAGGTTAATTGTCAGTACCCAAAGTATTTATTGCCATGTATTAGCAATGCATTTTTGTATATCTTTAGAGGGTCACATAAAAATAGATTTAAAGAATAGATTAATTGAAGTCCTAGATTAAAACATTGTTTGGTTTAGAGAATTTTACTACAACAAAAGTCATGTTTATGTATGAAAAGTTATATAACCTTATATGAAAATGTCATGAGCTATTTTCTAAACACTACATGTATTCCCAAGTGGGAAAAATTAAAATATCTAAAATATATTAGATTAAGTTTACAAGACCATCAATGATCTTTTAAACATGCAGCTGTTTACAGAATTAACAGTTTTACAAAATGTTTAGTTCGGTAATGGAACATAAAGAAATAAGTAGGCAACATCAAAATTTTTGTACAGTATTTGAAACTCACTTTTACAACAAGCATGTCCTTGGTATTGTGCTGTAAGAAATAATAAGCAAGTTCACCCACCCTTAAACTGTCCACAGGTTTACTTATAAGTAAAGATGGATGGTGAGGGATCGTAAAATTCTCAACAGTGCATTTTGCATTCTTCCATAAACCACCCTAAGCATAAAGTCACATAAGTAGCCAGGAGATTACAAAATAAACTATAGCTGGGCTTTAGTTGTTTACACAGAATGCTTGAATGTGAAGAAAATTGCCAAAAATAGCATGTTAAATAACAAAAACCAGCCATAAAGCAGGCTGTAAGCATTGAATGTTTCATAAATGTAATTTTTTTTAAATCATTTAATTTCTATAGAAAAATTTTATTCACAATATATTGTGACAAACCGTCACAGGAATGATATAGTGATTGCAATAAGGTATCATGCAGCAGCAGCTTTGTACTTTATAGCTATTTTTGCTTTTAAAAATTAAACCTCTCCAGTCATGCTTATCACATAGTTTTTATCTGCAGCGTGTACAAATGAGGAACACAGTACGGGATATAACAAAAAGATGTCCAATCAGCTGGATGGGAATTATTTTTCATAAATATGAAGTACATTACTGTATCCTGAAACATGCATGTCTATAGCTTGTCTCTACTGTCCACCAGCACCAGGCTGCCTGCAATCATCTTCTGGCTATATAATACCAAGAGGGTCTGCTGGTAGCTGCGACTGTATCAGCTGAGGCTGCAGTGGGGGTGGCAGCTGCAGGGGTACCATGGGTTCCACCATCTGCACCGGGTTGGAGGGTGGTGGCTGACAAGCCACTGGGTTGGGTGCTTCTACGATCTCCCCGTTGTAAAAGAAAAACTGACATTGTTGAATGAAGGTCTCTATAACTGATTGGTGGATTTTGGTGGTAGAAAGAAACTCTCTGTTTTCAAAATCGGGTCTCATCAAAGTAGGCCAGAAACAAATCGATAAGTTATCAGCAGTCATAAAGTTGGTCTTATATTGCTGACTAACCCTGAAATGAGAATGATATGCACAGAGTGAATTAAAACCAGTACGTGATCAACTAGAAATATTCTCATAGTGCTCTAACTGTAGGCATTATTACTAAACAATCTTGAGATTTTTACTCCTTTCCTCCAGCAATCCATTAAAACAATTGTCCTTGAATATTTTATGCGATTATGCAGAAGAAAATTTAGAAACCATGTCATTTCCAAATTTGGATAGTTAACTAATATAAATCTGATTAAGCTTTTAATCAAGAAAGATATTCAACATTCCACCAGCACTTCAAACAACAATAATAAACAAACTGAAACAGAGTCTTCACTTATTATCTACATTCATTATTGCATTACTATTACCAAACAAAAAAAACCTCCCAAGAATAACAAACCATCCTGTTACCAAATTTATCATCTACAAGTAAATACCTACTCAGAAAAATCAAAATGCTTTTCCCAGCAATAGGCAAACTGGCACCATAATTTTATCTAGAAGTAATTACTGAAAGATACATGAAAAATCATGTGTTAATACATGTGATAAACACCTAGAATATGCATTCAGCTGGGAACATGCATTTTCTATATTACAGTAGATATCACGAAGGTAGCAGAGATACAATTGTCCTGTAGAAATAGACAGAAAATAAAACTTCAGAAATTTGTCAGTTACAATTTTGATGATTAACAAGAGCAGCCCACAAGAATTTCTGACAGCTGGCTGTAGTCCATAGATTCAAGAGCTGTGAAAGCCATAGTAAACACTAGAATTAACACTATAAGAAAATACTTCCAGTCATTTACAATGCATATATAATGGTAATGATAAAGCATAAAAAACAGTGTGAAGGTACACAAATACTGCTTCTCGACCTGTTTTGAGTAAGTTTGGATACTATTTCTGAGTAGCAGTAAAATTCATAATCTGTTTGTTAAAAAAATTACATTTAAAATTCATTTACAGATCAAAGAATAAATATAAGCTACATTTTGCTTAGCATTATTATTAACATGCTGTACCCTCACAATCATTAGACTCAATAAATGAAGCAATGGGAACCTATGGCTAGAGGTGAGAAAAAAAAAGGCATTGCTCCTTTTCCCCAACAACAGCTCACAACCAGATTAAACAAAATGAACAATCAACTGCATTCCCTCCTGTGCTTCAACTTTACCTTTGTACTTTCTAAGAGTAAACAAAACCCTACCAAACCTGTATGTTGCTCTCCTCCCAAACTTGCTTTAACTACTTCAGAATCTTCTAAGTGCTCAGCAAATGCCCATTTACCTTCTTCTATGCTCACTCAAAATGAAAATGACGTGTCTCTCTCTTGATCCTGCCCACCTTCTCCACTGCCAAGTCTCAGGAATTTCAGACTGTAAACCCACCCTGATCAGACTTTAAAAGCTGTACACTGGTGTTTTCCCAAACTTCAGAAGCATATCACACCATATTAGTCCTTATGTATGAATGGTCTTGATACCAAGGAATGTGTATAAAATACAACTAGTATCAAAAAAGCCAATGTCAATTCAACGCTATCCTGTTTTAAGAGCTCACTTCTTACAGTTAATCAACACAATTACCTGAAATGCTCAGAAAGGTGCTTATAACACTAACGAAAAGTTCATCTCACTGTTGCCATTTATTAAATTCTCATGGTTACTGATCTCATACAATGTGGATAATACTTGTATTTTTTGTTTCAACTATCAGGTCCTGTGGTTGTGGTTGTGGACACACCAAAATATTACCAACCACCAACCATTACTAACTATACAATAACAAATATTTTACTGTAATGATTTAGGATGTAAAAACAAAGTATCTGTAACATTAGCTTGTGATGAGAGCTCTTTCATCATGTAGAAGACTGCTTTACTTCATTAAATGAACAATTCATTTGGCAAACAACACTTCCATTTTAATTATATATCAGCATTAATTCACCATTAATTCACCAAGATCCTGTACACAACTGTAACCATCTTTTTCTATATATGCAATTGCTTACATCCAAGAAGATTTCTTGTTGAATGGAATGCAACTACCTGACACTGCAAATGAGACAAAACATGACAGCCTTTCTTTAAGAAAAGATTGTTTTGTTACTAGCAACCTGCAATCACTCATCATTAATAGAGGACCAGACCAGAAAGCAAAGGCCAATGTACATCACTGATGTTCTCCAGTAAATTCCATTAATTAATATGTTTCATTTGTTTGTAGATATGCACACATTAGAATCTACTCAGGAATTTTTAAAATTATGTTTAGCTCTTTTACTTGCAGCAATCTAGGTACTTAACATTGTACATTCAGCTGTGCTTTGCCAATAGGTGACCAGACGAAGACTTCTGACAGTTCCAAGACTGCCACTCTTCCACAAAAATATCTATCAGGTTAATTAAGAGTTAACATTTCAGATAACTAATAACTGTGTCAAGACTGAGATCTTTAGTTGTACTTTAGACACTTGCAAGCACATCTTGAAATTCTGTAATATGGGCATTTGTTCATTGATATGGTTTTATCTGTTTTAGAGCTGAATTTGTATTGGACAAGAGTACAGCGGAAAAATTGTTCCATTTCCCTGAGAAGGAAAACGGACAACTTTATAAAAGTTAAACAAGTTGTGTATGTGATAGAGAGAAGTGCAAAAGTAGGCACTTAAATCCCAGAATCTTACACATTCTATGAGAAGTGTAAAAATAGAGTACCTACATTCTCCTTGATGACTAAGTAGGAAAGTTAAAGGTTCTTATTTCTACCCCTGTACTACAAAGCTCAGTTAGATCATTACAAATACCTGCAGAAACACAAACACACGGACAGTAGTCCAGAACAATTAAATATCATGTAAAGGTCGCATATGTGTCTATACACAAAACTGTCTGGCTGAAAAGTAACACTGCACAGAGAGAGAGACAAGAAAGTCCTGATGGACAACAAACTGAGCAGAAGTCATCCAGGTGGCAAAGGCAGTCAACAGCACCCTAGGCTGCATTAGGAGCACTGCCAGCAGGTCTAGGGAGCTGATCTTTCCCCTCTAGACAGCACTGCAAAGGTCACATCTAGAGTCTGGGATCCAGCTCTGGACTCTCCAGCACAACAGACATATGAACACACTGGAGTGAGCCCAATGAAGGGACATTAGGAATAAGATCATTAAGAGATCAAAGGTCCCTCAGATGAGAAAAAGCTGAGAACGTAAAGATTGCTTAGCCTAGAAAAGCTCAAGCAAAGTCTTATCACTGGTTTTAAATATTTGATAGGAGGGTGTGAAGAAGATGAATTGGGACTCTTCTGAGTGGTGTTCAGTGACAAGACAAAAGGCAACAGGCACAAACACCCACAGGAAAGTCTCTTAGCATAAGAAAACACTTTTTACTGTGAGGCTGACTGAGCACTGAAACAGGCTGTTCTGAGACTGGAGTCTCACTTCTTCGAGATACTGATAACCTAACTAGACACCATCCTGGGCAATCTGTTGTAATTAACTGTCAAATCAATGGGGTTGAACAAAACAATCTCCAAAGATCCCTTATAACCTCAACAATAATACAGTTAATCTCATTCTATGGATACAGAGAATAATTTCATTTTAGCTGAATAAGAAGCACGAGTAAGTTGGTCTTTTTCGGTTTTTTATGACAATATTGTACACATTAAGGCTCAAGATTATGATATACATCTATTAGCACTATTTTAGTAAATATGGAAATAACTTTTAAATATAAAAACAATAAATTTCCATGCAAGAGGCAAAATTTAAGAAGAAAGTGTAACCAATTCACTGTTACTTAGAGCTTTGTTTTACATTCTACTATTGAGCACAGGATTTGGGCTCTGTATTCTATATATACATTTTGATTGAAGCTAGCCCTGTTTTGGCAGGAGGGGGGAAGGGGGAGAGAGGGAAGATGATGTTTAGGCCAAATGACTCAAATTCCTTAAAACCTAGATTAGTCTATAATATTAATAGCTATTATTTCCTGGGGGGGAGGATGTGCAATAGTTATAATTAGGTGCATAGTTAATATTAGGTGAAGTTATTCTTCCAAGCTTTTGTTACGTAGAGCATTCTCATAACTTTATAGTAGCAATGATGCCAGATAAATATATGTCAATAATATGTGAGAAACAAATATCTAAGGCTTTATTAATCAACTGTAACTCCTAATTTCTTTTTCCACATTTTCAATTCTAGTAGATAATTCATTGTTAAAAACACAATCTTTTTTGCAACTATTACAACTTAAACAAAATTGAAAAATACTAAACCTGTTTAGATGTGTTATTATGTATCTGAAGACATCATAGTTCACTGGATGGAATTTCTTCACAATCTCTTTTAACTCGTGTAGCCGTTCTGTCTTATCCATGATTTCTATAGAAATAAGTGACATTTTCTGACACATCTAGAAAGACATACTGAATAAAGTGTTGCTAAGTCTTTTTCCTAGTATAATGGTTAGGTAAGATACCCACAGAGAAATATCAAGTGAGAAAATATTGAATAAAATTCCTATTTTCACAGAGTAACTTTTTTATTACAGAGTTTGTCCTGGTTACTCTAAGCACACAAAGTTGTGTGTGCAAGTTTAACTCAGCACAAAAATATTTTTCTGAATTTAAGCAGAATTATCTGTGTTCAGCAAATAATTACTTGACTAGCTTACTGTTAGCCTGTAGAATAACAATGTGACAGGGTCATTTCCTGTTGGAGTTCCCTCTGCTTGCAAAATGTTATGACAGAAAGACATTCACATGAGCCTAGAATACTCTTAAACTTCACTGTTATTCAAATAATAAAAAAATCATGAATAGGGCTAGTGCAGCTATTTTAAATATGCTGCGTAAAGAAGTACAAGGATTCTTCACAGGCCCAAAGGGCATTGTTCATGCTTCAAACAGGAAATAATCAACGTGTAGGAAAGGAATACAAAATAGAGTAACAATTTTATTTAAAAAAACCCAGCAACTAATGCTGTGGGGATCCATATATTCTGCAGAATACACTTCTAATCAATGATGATTCATACCATAAAAAGCAATACAAGTTCCCCACTATTACTTGACTGCATTGCTAAAAACAACTTTGATCTACCATAATATCATAGAAAAAAATGTTAAATACAGTCCAGTATATCCCAAATATAAATTTAAAGCAGTATTAATGGCATTTTAAACAGTAATTATACTTATATTCTAAGCTATTTTAAGTTTTGACTGGAATTTAATGGTTATACTTTTAAGAAAAAATAAAACCAAAGTAACTACATTAAACAAGTAACATGCCTTAAAAAGTACAGGAGAAATACTAGAAATAGCTATTTACAGATAACATCAGAAAATACAAAATTTCTAATGGGCTATATATTAATCAAGTCCAGGCCCAAGCCTTAGGCTTACACTAATGCTTCCATGTCTTGAGCAAAAAATACTTTGGAATATTGTACGTCACAGTCGTACTCTGTAAAAAGTGTGGTGGTCGCTCTGTGGAACAGTTTGCTGCCAATACGAGACACAGGAATACTATGAAACGTCTGAAAAATGTTCATAAGGCAAACAAAACTAAGCATCTTACAAGAGTTCAAAAAGAACTTGAAAAAAAACTAAGAGAATTAGAGAATTACCATAATATCCCATAGATGTGTCTGATTTTTAAAGTCTACTTTGAATGTAAGACTTCATAAATTCAAGGGGGTTTTCCTATTAACAACTGCAAAGTTGCTCCACGAGCTTTCATCATTTTTATCACTTAGAAAATGGAAATAAGTAGCTGTCTCCCAATTAAATTTTCTAGGAAAAGGAGAAATAAGCTACAAACCTATTTTGAAAAATAAATGTATTACATTCATCTCATCATATATAGTTGTTCTAATTTTAAAGAATATTAAAAAATGTGTGTCAAAGGAATTAAAAAAATATCCAGTGCAGATGGTCCTTTCAACTTACAATGAAGTAAAAATAGAAATAAGGGCAATGGAAATAACACAATTAAATCAAGAAAATGTTGTTACTTACTTGATGTTTCTAACAACTCTTGATGCAATGAGTAAGGAACTAATGGATCTGGCAGATCTGCAAAAAAAGCTTTCAGAGCCCCAGCCACAGCATTCACTGTTACTCCCATTGATTCTAGACTGATATTATGATCTGTAAAACAAAATTTTAAAAGCAGTAGTTTAAGTAAAACCTACTGTTATCATTCCTTATAATACTTTATGAAAACAAGAATTTATTCAAAACACTGATAACTAAAATTTTGCCAAATGATTATTAAATAAGGAAGGAAAAGGTGAACTTATTGATAACCTATCACACAAACCTACAAGAAATCAAATATAAGAAAATCTGACAGCATTACAAAACAGTAGAAGATCAGAAAAATAAAGTTGTCTAATTCTCCATGAAGTCTTGAATGATTTTGTATTTGCCATTAACTGAATTCTGATTAAGCAATTTTGCCCAGTAAGACGTTATAAATTCTATTTCCCAAAATGCTGCTAAACAGCAAAGCAAGGCATAATAAAGAAATAGCACTTTCACTTTCTTTAATGTCTAGAAGACATTTTACTATTTTTCACAGACTCAACTTCATTATTACCATCCAAGAATTTTCAATAAATATTTTCATTTTAAAATATAAACACATCAAAGTGAGCAGCTTAAACTACCAATCACATTTCATTACATTCTACAATGACAAAGGCTATGTTAGAAATTATTCAGACTTAATTGTTAATGCACATTATTCAAGAGAGCTTTTACTAAAGTACCAAGAATTACTATTTGTGGGGCATAAGAAGCAGAAGGGAATGCCTTAATGCCTAGGACTGATGAACTGTTAACAGAAGGAGCAGCTAAAACTACACTAAAACTCTTTCAAACCTTCAAATGCCACCCAGATAATATTTTAAGAGTGCTTAAGCCAGCTGCAACAAGATTCCCCTCCCACCCTTGGAGCTTCACTGGTAATAACATGGACTATACCAAAACAACCCACCAGAGCACTAAGGACACAGTGCTATGGAAGCTGGTTTCAAAGTGCAATCCTTTTATATTGCACTGTGACAAATCTACAGAGAATTCATGTTGTGTTCTGGCTTTAAATAACAAAGTCTGATTACCTTGATCAAACTGTTTTTGAATGTTGTCTTGATCTGTTTTATTCCCACTAACACGGTACAGGCCTTCAGTACATAATCCTTAGAAGAGGAGGAAAAATAAATATTAAAAAACAAATTTGTATACTACAAAGCAGAGCAGAACCAGTTATAACTACTAATTCAGAAATGAAAAGTAGGAATACATTTCTTAAGTGCCTAAAAAGTTAACACATTAAACATTACAGCAATATAGGACTAGCAAAACACAAAATGTCAGTTGTCTATTGAGTCCACTATTCCATTTAACATCAATCAGAGGAAATGACATTATAGGATAACAAGCCTCTGATGCAGATATTTGTTGAATAATTCTCTTACTGATCTCTATTAAGACTGTTGTCATTTGCACTGTTTTTTTAATAATAAAAAACCCAAATTCTGTGGTACCCACATTTATGTTTTTAAAAACTGTCTTCACAGTTTGGGCTTAACAACTTACTGTGGCAAACAACAACACACTAAAAATACTCTGCAGGGAAAAAAAAAACCAACAAAACAAGTATTTGTAATAACAGAATCCTCATCTTTTTATTTCACTGTGTAACACAATTCTGTATATGATAATAACTTAATCTTTAACAATTTATATTTTATAATCTTTGAATCCATTTCTCTTCATTTCTTATCTAAAGTATATTATCACATCATTTACAAGTCTTTCTTTAAGGCATGGGGGAAAAGGGGGAAAAGAGAAAGGTGTTAGGAAGCAACATTCCTCAAGCTTCTCATTATTACTTTGTTTTACCACGTTACAGTCATCGTAATTCCATCAGCATTTCAAGGTGAACATTGAACAGTACACCTTAATTATCACATACACGCACTTGCACACTCCATTCCAGTGATCATGCTTCCTACCACACTGCTATCATTTTCTGCTCACAGCTACTCATTGAATGAAAAGAGTCCATCCTAATAATCACACCATTACCCAAGATATTTTCCTTCTTTAATTTAGAACCTATTAAGGAATATAAACATTTTTTAGATTATCTATATATTAGATGTCTGTAACACTACATGGGTTTATTAAAAATTCCCAGGTTTCACAGCTTAATGAAATCTCTTGGCCTTTTGCCATCATAGGTCAATAACTGAATGCATTTTAGATCATCATATCAATACTTAACTGCTCTGTCCCACTATTATCCACCAAATGTGTACTTTAAGTTACCAAGAAACATTAAGAATCCTATTACAGCATTCAAAGCACAGAAAGCACTTGACTGGTTCAGAAGAATTATTTCCTTCTTAATGTCTCAACAACAAAACGTGTCTCTTTACTGGCTGCATCAAGGATATTTTAATAAGCATTTCTTCAATAAATTTTCATATCCATCATTTAGCTTTCCAATTCCATAGCCAAGAGTTTTCCTCTTGTAAATATACACCTGAACAGTCCCTTCAAAAAACCTTGTCTACTGATATCCTTCAACACCACAAGGAGGTAAAATTTGGTGGGCACAGGGCAAAAAGCGGTTTCAATGATTCAGTGATTTCCACACCTTGAAAGGAGTTTCAAGCCTGCCTTCAAGAAAAGTGCCCCAAATGTGTTACATGTGATCACAGCCAGAAACACTTTATATTCCTCTTCCAGAAGCTGTAAATAAATACAGAAGACCACTGGTAGATAAGAACAAGCTAGATCAAGATTCTCTTTGTCTAGTATGATAGAATTCTCTGCTGGAGACCCTACAGCCTCAGGATAGTCTTTGTTTTATCCAATTACTATTCAATGTCTTTCTGCACAAAAGAAACTGCATGTGCTGCTACAGCAGTTTCTGAGAGGACTGACCCAGTCACTGTTTAGTAGGAGTATGAAAACCTTGAATACCTGAACTGGCTGCTCTGGAGACATATGCTCTAGTGTGGTATCTATGCTACAGCTCTAAGAAACAAAGGAAGACAACTTACAGTACCTTCTGAAAATTTCCAGGTTAAAGAAGGAAATGCCTACTTAATTTAGGCATCTTCATGAAATAGTGAAGTGCTGCACTTCTGTATTAAGCTAACTAAATTTGTCTCCTGAGTGCCTCAACAAAATTTTTCTTGTTTGTGTATATTCTAGAAAGTCATGCTTCATGAAACGGCCAATTGTCATTACACTTTCTCTAAGGCACGAAAGGAGACAAGTTTAATCTGTTTGTGAGTATGCACACAGCTAGAAGTCTGCAAGAATTCTTTATGTAATGCTCCAATTCTCTGTTGCTTTTTCTTATGCAACCAGGTCTCTCCGATGCTTCTTGCATCAAGATCTTCCATCAAATAACAGACACTGTAGTTCACTACAGTACCTGTGGTTCACTAGTTTTAGCTTTTGAACTTCTTGCATATGTATAATATATCTCTAAGAAAAGAGAGATAAATAGAGAGCGCTCAACATTTTTTTTTTCGGACAGCTTTTTAAAAATGTGATTCCCCCATCGGCAAGGCTCTTGATTTTTCAAAACTTTTTTTTATGTTCTTACTCTCCTTGCATTCTGGTCCAATTGTAATTTTCAACATATCCTTCCCAAACACAACTGCTCCTGTAATATTATACGTTAGAATCATATTATTTATTTGCTTCTCTGTTCTGCTAGCTTTACAACACCTCTAGGTTTAAATAACTAGATCCTCTTTACATCACATCACCATAATCTGTATTTATTTGAAGACACTGCACATCCCCTTTGCCTAGACTACTCTTTTCTCAAAGTACCTCCTAGAGCCTAATAGAGCCTCTTGCACCTTCTTTTGTGCTGAGAGTTGGGACCAAGGCTCCATCCCATCTAACTGGAACTTCACCACATGGGGCTCAAAGGATTTCAGAGAAAGTGAGCAAGGCGGATCTGCACCTATATGCACCTATAATCAGTGTATAGGACACTTCCATTCTTAGGCTCCAAGAGATTTCCACAACTCTTGGTTCCTCCATGGAACATACTAACTTCAGCAGAAGGGAAGACCAAAATTTACCTGCTATAATATCCATTTTCCATACCATATACTACACTATCTAGTATATGCTTGAGGAGAGATATAGAAAGGAGAGAAAAAAACCAAAACCTACAAACAATCTTTTTGTGGTACATCCTCCCAGGTTTCTGCAGATGGTGGCTGACATAGGCTTTTGCATAAGGTGTTGTAATAGCCATATGGGGATTTATCCTTCACTAATTCACCCAAACACCTTTAAGTAATTTACTTGTATTCTTTACATCATGGTGAATGCAGTTTTGTCATTCCAGAATGTACATTAGCAAGCACACTGAGTTTATGCTCAGTATTTCAAGTTTGCATAATTTTGTTTCTCAACAAGAACTAATAACTTCTCTACATTTTCCAACTTTCTCTACATTGCCAGTTTTTTAAATTTATGTCATTTTTCTTCCTCAGAAATGTTCTAAGCTAATCAGTTTGGTTTATCTTTATCCAAGAGTTACTATTACTCCTGTATGTATTATATTTTCCAATTCTTTCTATTCTGAGAAAGGCTGAACCAAATTGCTACCAGTATCAAAATGGTGTGTATAGCATGGCATTATGTAATAGCATGAATTTTCTTCGTCCATAACTTTTTTTTTTTTTGCTTGCTTGCTTGATAGCAAGAACAGTTTAAGTTTTCAGAGAGGTGTCTATGATGATTTCAAAGCCTTTTCCCAAGTGACAACAGCTATACTAACATTTAGACTGCTGAAAAGTCATAGAGTGTCTGCTAACAACATCCACAGCCAGACTCTGCTATCATGTTCTGTCTGTGTTTCTGAATAAGTGCCACAATTACAGCAAGTCTGTCTCTCCCAGTTCAATTCCTTCCTCTACAGTGGCCGATGGAACTTTTCAGGACTCATTCTCCGCTACAATAGCTGAGACTATCATTCCCGCATTTAATCTTTGTAAATTTGGTGATCTGTATATTTCTCTACTTTTATTCCATGGATATCTGGTGTACCTCTTTTCAACCCTTCCTCTATAACATAAAACTAAATGAACCACCAATTTGCTGGTCCAAACCAGTAATTTCTATGTACACCTAGAATGCATATAATTATTGAGCAAAGAAGTCAAACTCTAAGTAAGAATCTCACACCAACTTTACTTACATAAAACATATTTAATGTGTCCTTATTAACACTGACATTTAAAGTCCCATGACATTCAATTCATGCACTGAAAACCAGAACCAAAAATAAGTGTCTTACTGCTTCTTGTAATAAAATAATTTATAGCATATTGAAATGTTCAATAAATATTGAGCAGTGTAAGGAAATAAGCAGTACTTTTAGAAAGACCCTTATAATAGGAAGCACTCCAAAGCTGAATTAACATTTCTATAATTTCACTAACTGATTATTAAACAAGGTCTCAGTCATTTTATGAAGTGCCACTCAAGCCCAAATTTTATGGCCTACCCATTTCAAAAAAAGAATACAAAACTACAATTAATATGACATTATGAACATGCCTGGGAAGAGGTAGGTGCACTCTTTGCTTTATTAAAAATAGGTGACAACTGAAGCATTGTAGTTTTCCAGGCATATAGCTGTTTGGTCACTTTAGGTCTGGAGAAAGCTGAGGGAGTAAGTGAAGCAGCAGAACTATCATACCCTGGCATCTTGGTCCTATCTGTGTTGTTTAGGAGTTCTTTATGTTATTCCCATGATGCTTCCTTTGAAGAGATAACTCATTAGCAATACAACTCAAGTGCACAACATGTGTTTTATGAGTATTTCAAAACATATTTGTTCACAGTTTTCAGTGATTCTCACACACTTCTAAATTAATGCATGAGCTCCTCCCCTGTCTGGTAGTCAGTCTTCCATTAGGAGCAATGATGCCTGTTTTACCCTCATGAGCTTGCTTCCTTTCTGCTGATTAATTCCAAAGCAACAAGACACAAACTGGTGTACAGTTTCCTAACTACTGAAACCTATTCTATGTCAATTTTGAAGTGATCACAGAAGGAATTCTCAGGAGATCATCTAGTGCAACCTTCTGCTCAAACAACAGTCAACACTGAAATCAGATTTGGGTGCTTATCTAAATATCCCTTTAAT